CTAACGGTCTGTGATTCTGTGATTCTGTGCACTTGGCTCATCTTGTCTCCGCACACTAACTCAACTAAGCTAGACAACTCTGTACTTCTCTAATCTTCTCTTAGACAACTACTGCAAGTAGAATGCTATTACTTTCCTTGTCAAATTATCCTATGATCTAATTGTTTGTATTTTCATTAATATCTAGGCTAAATTTACCATTTAACTTCAGTCTTACTTCTATTAGTATTTAATCACTTCAAATAAGTTTGTATTTTCTTTTTCACAGTTCCAGTTGGATAGAAGCATATGATAACATTCCCTTCAACAAGATACCTGTATATTTTATTTCTTTCTATGCTTCAACACACACAGAAAATTTTCCTTAATCTGTTAATCTCACTCACTCCAAATTCTATTTTTCTTATTCATACATGTATAGACTCTCAATTTATCTGTCATTTTTTCATAACAATGAAATTAAAGGTATGTTCAAGTGTTCTACTCTCAAAATGATCTTACGTTCTTGAGGAAATGACTATGTTCATAACACACTCCTGCACATAGTCATTACTGTTTATTTCAATAGGACCACACAATGAGAATATTTAATCTGCTGCACACTTATAATTTCCTGATAATTTCTGTGTCATTGCTTTCTTGCTAACTAGTCTTCATTTTTGAGCCTCTGCCTGATTTCAGCATTTTGTAAGTCTATTGCTTCTGTGCTGTAAAAATTACATGTCAATACTTTTCCAAGCTCCTTTTATGATTCTGCAATCTATCACCTGCTCTGCTTACAATTTGTTCTTGTATACGAACCCCAGTGATTGCTGCTTCTAGTCTGAGAGAGGAGGCAGCTCTCTCTTATTTTGTATACTGCCTGACAACTCCTACATATTACATCAGGTGAAGCGAATGTGTTAACATTTGAGCTGTTGGGCTCTTTTCCTCCATGAACATTCAAGTTAAGGAGCCAGGTTGTCAGTCACAGAAATTGCCCACTGTGAGAATGATTTTAAAAAAGCTATGCCCATTTATACCACCTGAAATTCTCGTTCAAAGGCTGCAAGAGCAATTTGTTGTTAGTCTGAGGGCCTTACTGGCTTGACTCAGATCTTTAATAATGGAACATTAAGACCAGGAATAAAAGCCCTGTAAATGTAATCCTTCATCGTGATCAAAGAAGGCAGGTACTTAAAGTAAGACAGAACACTGCATGCGGGAGACCGTAGACTCAGAGAGATAAAGCTCTGTATGAAAAATTATAATCTCAGTTTCATTAAACATCATCTATGGTCAGTCTTTGGCCTCTGCTATGAATTTCGAGAAAATTTTTCTTGAACAAAACCAGAACCTTTGATTTGAAAATATGCTGGTCAATTGTTTTGCATATTACTTGGGGATTCTGTGTAGAACTTCTATACTTAATTTGTTTTCTGATGGGCTTTCCCTAACATTTTTCTGCAGAATTTAAACTTGCCTTTAAAATTCTTAGCCTGTACAATTACAAAAAAACTCACAAACAAACAAACACCCAACCCCCCCCAAAACTTTAAAACACAGATTGAAGCAGTATTATTCTGCTGAATCTCAGCTGAACTCCACACTTTCAGGAAGGCATCAATTTTAGCAGATACTATGAATCCTAAAATATAAATCAGTCACCTGTTTCACTGTTGGTCACCTCAGTAGCTAATGCATTTATTTGCCACTGTTATATTAATTTGAACAGTAGGGGAATGCTAGCATGTGCAAGTGACAAGAGTTATGTTTTCCAAACAATATTTAAGATCAGCTTCAGACACAGGTCTCTGAGAGGTGTCAAAAGATTAAGCCATTAGAAGAACTGAAATAGCTGCAAGGAAGATGAATGAAGATATCAAGAAGAAATGGAAAAACAAATCTCAGGCGAGGGTAATTTTTTGGGGGAAATGGTTATGTGTTACTGCTGATATTAAAAGTAGTGCTTTAAAATAAAAACTACTCAAATCCCAAACTGCTTAATTAACTCTCAGGATTTCAGTGCAATTTTATTTTTAATATCTGGCAGGCTTTCTAAATTTTGGTGGAATACGGGATATTCTGCAGAATTCCAATGTCTCCTACATATTCCCAATGGCCTTTGAATTTAATCTGGAAAGCAAGTCTTTGCAATTCATTCTGGAAGAAAGGTTCCACCTTAACAGTACACACAATTGTGCAATAGCATTTCATTTTCACTTATGGGGCTGGCCATCAGACATTATATGCTCCCTCTCCCACACCATTCAATAAATTTGCCACACTGTGAGATTACTGACAACTTACATCTAAACCCCTTTCCAAAAGCAGTATGGAAGAGATGAAAATTATTTTAGAGATTAGCTATTAGCAGATCCCTCATTATTTTCTTTCCAATTGTCCACTGGAAGGAATTGTTCTATTCTTTGATCATTCATTTGGATATTATCTTTTAAAATGCTGCCTTATGTAAAAGATCCATTATTACAGTATGAATCAAAGCAGCAGTGACAAAGCAGCAGATTTCAGTTATATGTTATTATACTTGCAATGTGTCCTGCTTCTTTTACAAAACTTAAAGGGCATATGCAGAATATATGGAATATTTCTTAGTTCACGATCTGACTTCCTTACTTACATTGTGTAGGGTACAGCCATGAAATAACAGATAAAGTGGCAGAGAGGAACAGGACAATTTCATGACAACTAATTTGTCATGGCTAAAGTGGTCACAGCTTTTCATTTGAGACCTTTTCCCATGTGACATTCTGTGAAAAAATGTGTGATTAAAACACCTTTTTGTAGTACAAAGTTTCATGGCATAATTTTTTTCTGCCTTCATATTTATTCACTAGTACTAAATAAGGAATTTAAGAGTAAGGAGTCTAAAATAAAGGGACATGCTTTGTCTTGATGACTAATACATTTGAGATACCACCAAATCTAAAATATCACACAGTTTATCCCCTCAAAAACTTGATTCTTAAAAGATTTGCCAGGGAAAAGGTACAGTTCTTTAATCAAAATTATTTTATAGAAAGCTGCAATTATTAGCAGCTCAGTTTCCTTGTATTTCACTTGCAAAAGGTTATATAAACTCAGAGACTTCTATTTGACAAGGAGCAGAAATCAACTTTATGTCAGATACATAGCTGGATATGCAAAAGCATCCAAAAGGGGTAAAAAATATCAAAGCATTATCATCAGCAAAATGAGCTTGGACTATATAACCATAGTGGATTATGTATTAGAATGATAGTGCTGAGGATGACAACAGTCATAGTACATGGAAGACACAAACAGGACTTGAATCTAAAGAAATTATTCCACAAATCTTCACTGGACAGATGTGCAAAGAGATAAATGGTTACTAAATTTCACATCTACCATGCTCACAACCGTCCCTTTTTTCTAATTTTCTTTATACATGAGATTACGCAGCCTAAACTCACTTCTATAGAATTAATTGCTGAAAAGTTGATCTTAATTTATGAGGTGAACTACTAAACATGAGGTATTGCTGTCTGTATTGTTACACTGGATTTTACTCACTTTATTAAATATTTTCATGAAAAATAGGCAACTTTATAGGGGTGTGATGACTGACATGCTAGGTCCTAATCCTTTCCTCAAGTTTTTTTTTCAGTGAAGAACAAACCTAATGCATAAGAAATACGCTGCAGATTTTTTTATTAGTCTGCTAAAAAAAACAAGCAACAAGATTTGCATAGCTGACATTCAACCAAATATTAACCGATTTCGTGAGATAAAATAGGGACTCAAAGACAGGGGTACATGTGAACCTATATGCTTTTGGGTTACCTGGTACCAGACACTTTTCAGTTCAGGTAAGGCTATCAATCACTGGCAGAAGGTATTTTTATTCTTTAAATTAAGGGTACGTATATAATTTGTTGCTAAGTTTAATATTCAAGAGACTTCTAAATGTGCAACATCAATTTCAAAAAGGGTTGGGTTTTTTTTCAGGTGCTGGAAAGCCAAGCAGTTTGATTAGCATTCATGAACTTGTAGTAGGATATTCTTTTAAACAAACCCTGTCAATTAGGTCAGGTTCCTCACACACATTAAAATGAAACCGCAGCTACAAAAGAAAGAAAACACAAATGGAGAAAGAGAGAGAGAAAGGAAAAAGATGGGAATGAGAGGACAAACCAATCAGATTTGGTGTTACCAGCCAGCGGAAGTTTTAAAAAAACAGATCACCGAGTGAAATCGTACATTTACTCGGAGAGAGTATCCTTTGACATTGCCTTCTAGGTGATCTCTGAGCTCCTCCAGCTTTCGATGGAGCTACATGTAAACATCAGAAAATGAATTGAAAAAGCAACCTGTTCTCTTGTCACGTTGGGTTTTTTAAAAAATTTTGTTCTTTGTTTTAATGTGTTATTTTTTTAATAAATCATAGCATAACACATTTCTCACTGCCTCTAGCATAACATTTCAAGACATCAAAGACCTTTGAACAACACAGACATACAAGATCAGTAAACTTGGAAACTGGAAACAAGATATTTTTGCTTGATTAACATGGTTCTTTTTTCAGTACAGGAAAAAAAACTAAAAAATCAAGGGACAGATCATAAAGCTACTGAATCCCTGCTACATTGTTAATTTATTTATTTATTTGCCTGTTTATTAGTAAAGTTGTGTTCTAGAATTTATTTTCATTTAAAAAAAATTTTTAGAGGTAAATTTTCATGTTTGGGAACATCAACTAGGTTTTCCCATTTTCTATAAGGATATTTGTATAAGTATAAAATCTAAATATATATTTTTGGTCATTAAATTAGATTCTGGGCAATTAGATACAGAAATAATAATCCTAAATCAGGTGTCAGTGGGTGCTCATAAAAATAATAGGCGAATCCCACCACTTAAATAAGCTACATCTTCTGCATATGTATATGCATTAGGCATCTAGAATTGTATGTGACAACCAATGAAAATGCACAGGTCACAGTAATCTCACACACCATTTTCAAAAACAGCAGAGAAACTGTGGCTGTCTTATATCTTCCTCCACACAAATTCAGTGGTCCTGAATGTCTGCCACTGAAACAGTCCCTCATTCACATACAGTGCTCTTCACATCTACACTGTAACTAAAACCTCTTCCCAAAACACAAGATGAAAAGATAAAACCTCAGAGACAGTGAGGAATGCTGCATATGCCTCTAGCTATAACTTGTAGAAACAAATAGCAACTGGCTTCTTTTTCTACACTGAGATGAATTTATAAATGGAGGCATTACTGGAAAGAGGTGCATAACTAATCCTTCCCTTCCCCTTCTTTATGCTCAGTGAAATAACATTTTCACAAAGAGCAGCTGTAGAGCAGTGTTAGAGAACAGAGAAGATGGCTTGTCCTGGAACAAAAGCAATACACTCACATACAAAACCAAAAACCAAGAAGACAGGAAAGGCAGGGAGAGGGCAGAAGGAAAATGAAATAATTAGTGCTTGAGAAACTGCTAAAAGGAAGTAAAGCGGAAAAAAAGTGAAAATTTGGATGGCTAAAAAGAGGCAACTGTTGAGATGGAACCTTAACAGAATGGCCTGGACTGCACATGATTAGCATCTTAGTATTGATTACATCCTGTGTTTTAAACCATTTATTAGGGTGTAGCACTATGCATGGTGGGTGCTGATTTAGATATCTGCTGGTTCTGTTAAGTGCTATAAATATTTGGATATGTTCACAACAGAAAACAGAAGGGACTAATTGTTAGCAAAACAGTGGCTCCATTCTTATTGGTCTCACCTGGATATCTCTAATTTCTTCTTTATTTACTCTGCTTCTTTTTTCTGCTTTAAAGGCTAGATATAGACAAAATATTCAACTCTCTCTTTTAATGGTCTTTTGCAGAATTAAATACTGAAAGTGTGAGCACTATAAAAGTTTAATTATGTTTCAAGATGGGAAGCAGTAATCTGAAGATGAGTAAGTCACTTCTCCATGTAACGGGCAGTTAAGAGACAACAAACAACACAGATCAGAGAAGTGGTTTAATCATGATCACCAAATTACAGGCACTTCAAGAAAGTTGTTATTATCTCTTATTTGTGGTGACATTCAAAGCTAACTAACTGGCAGCCTGCCTTCACTAGGTTGTTCTATGTGTAGCACAGAAACAAACAAAATGTGACCCAACAGCAATAAGAATACTGAAATAAAAATGATGGGATGGTGAGAAATGGAAAAGCCCCTTCCCTCCCTCCCCTCACCTCCCCCTTCAAAAGGAAAAGTGTAGGCTATAGAAGAAAACTTGCAAAATAAATGTTAGAAACATATTTACTTTGAGGGATCCAACTCTACTAGAAACTCCTTTGCTTTCATCCGGCCGTCTAATTTGCTACAATGGGGGAAGATGGGTAAAAAAGACAGAAGAATAAAGAAAAAGTGAACTTAAAAAAATTTCCACAAAATCAGTTAGCAGTACATGCAAGACATCAATTTGACTCTCTGAGACACCTCTAGTGGACAAAGACACAGACTCTAATTTCCGGAATAAATGATGCTTTACCATGGCATTTTAAACTTGCTTTGTTGATAATTTTTATTTCAATATATTACCAATCTGGCACATATGTTGCATGCTAAATTCACTAACATTTTTGAAAGAATACAATTTACTTATGTGATTTGGACATTAAGAATAACCAAGTCCTAAAACTCTAACTGAAGAAAAAATACCCTATACCTTCTAGAAATCATTTGATCATAGTATGCTACAACAGGGAGTATCAGACCTGGCAAGTATCATGGTTGATACCTGACAGAATGCAACACAGATTCCTATTGACCTAGGCCTAGAGATTTTAGCCACTGCTGTCAAGATCCCCAGTTAAAAATTATGCTGCCCAACCAGAAAATTTTAATGCCAGACCAACATTAGATTTTTATTTTGAATACACCACATATATAACCTCTCCCTCCACATCTACTGATTACTTTTCCTTTATTATATATGTTTTTTTTCCCTAGATGATATAGAAGATGGAAGAAACAAATGAGGTAGCTGCTCCAAAGGCTTCGTATTGTTAGAAGCACCTAAAATAAAACATTAATTTACAGCAAAAGTTCTTTTCAGAAACTTCTTTTACTGATAAATTAAACTTGTGTTGTGTCATTTGAAGTAGAGGAAGAAGACAACAAAAATCACTTCAGAGATACTCTTCTAGTCTGAATCAAGACTGAATTGAAAGTATTATCTCATGGTTGTTTCATAGCTTATGTAAAACGAAGTCCCATACAACTGAGGTGAACCCTTTCAAACCACATTGTTTTTTTCTTTAAGAAATCTCAGCAAAGAAGCCAAAGACTAAACAAATCACAAGAAATTCAACTACGCTTCATGCTCTCTGCAGCACTCCAGCAAAAGCCCAAGTCAGATTGCCCTGTTTGTTTGTACCTGACCCATGGACAATAGAGAAATTAATATTCAAAACACAGTCAACAATGTTGGGGTTTTTTTACTTGCACTCAATTCTCAAGAAAAGAATGCAACTAAGCAAGACGTTAATGATTTAAGTATCTAGTTCTGATAGGATGTCCACTAGCAAAATACACTGGAAACATTAACGTAAATTGTTGTGTCCTCCCTGGTCTTATGGCATTAAAATAGTATCTGTTTTGAACTCTCAAGTGAAACACCCACATCACTGTTTTCATGGGACTCCTTATTTGAAAAGAAAACAACAGGAGCTAGAGCAAAGACTCTTGACCCAATATCCTGGTTGAGATATTACCAGTCCTAGACAATAATCAAGTAGAACCCCAATTCACATTACTAATTTGAAACCTTTTTCAAAAATAATAGATTCAATTTTGTTTTGAAAAATGAGAAATAAGAAAAAAATGCAGAATTATAATATATAATATAATTTCACATAATGACTTGGAACTAGGACACTACGGAAAATGCCACATACCACAGAAACTTGGGGAAAAGTTGTAAGTGACAGCAAGATGCATTGCCCTTTTGTACAGCTGTACATTGCTCCAGGAGAAAAGTTACTTAACAATGTGGGTACGGTGGCTGCTCAAGTTGCGCTGAAGGTTTAAGATTCAGTCAGAAATGAGATTGGTGGTATTACAGGTGCATATAACTGACATTATTTCCTCTTTCATTCTTCAAAATATATAAAGGAATACAATCACAATATGTACACTGCAAACAATGATATTATAAATGCTTGAAAATATAAATCACAATGAGATAGCCTAAGGTCAACTCTTGTTTTACACCCGTAGCACAGTTAATACAGATGGTAACACGTTTTCCACAGGAACCTTTCAGAATGCAACTTGGATGCTTCTCAAGGGATGAATCAGAGTGATACGAGTATTGCACAAACTATACCACATCTGTTGTGGGAATTAACTAGGGTATTGCCAAGAAGGCCAAGGAAAGTAGGAATAAACAAAACCATTTTTTTTCATGGCAAATAACACAGAAAGGATTTCAGAAATATCCTTATCTCTCTCTGGTCAACCCCCGTATGATGTTCTAGAAGTTGACTGATAAACTAGCATTTCAGAAAATGGCATGGATTACACACTCCTTGCTTTTCAGAAACACAGCTAGACATGAGAACGCCATCACAGATGAACAGTTGCAGCTAGAAAATACCAGAATTGAAGATGTGCATGTAAGTGTTCTAAATCAAAATTATGTACAGTTCTGTCCCCATTGGCCAATCATGTGATCTAGAAATAATTCCTTTGTTTTTTATCACCTATTTGTAAAATGAAAACAGTACAAACCATAGGACTAATAAAAAGAACCTCGGCAGTGACACTGAAAACAAATCTTTCTGCCTCAGGCTGTATGACTTTTTTAAAATACCACAACACAACTAAATGAGCGGTTTAATAGACGAGGCAGGAGCAACAGTAAGTAGTTACTGGCAAAATAGTTCCTGAAAGATGTGAGGGTTTTGGAACATTCTGAAGGAGAAGAATGAAGATACTCAATGTAATGAAAGAAGAAAGGTGGTGTGCAGTGAACGTTCCAGGGCAGGGTATAAGGCACTGACAGTTAAGACAGATGCGTTACCTTTACACCCCTTTCCTATTCACGAGAGGATAATGGTAGGAGTTAATAGCTAAAGATTAGCCACACGTGTCCCTATCCTGATATCTGAAGAACAAGGTGGAGTTACAATGGGAGCACAATGAGATAGGAGGGTAGTGCAAGAAAAGTTAGGAAGCAGGGAAACCAGAACCAAACAGCGAGCAAAGAGGAGTGCTCAAATATGCTTAATGGACCTGTTAGAAGATGGATGAAAGACTGAGGTACCAAAAACCAGACACTTAATGTTTTCTAAACAGATGTTTCATATATGGTTTCATTATTATTCCTCTACCTCCTAACAGAGCCATGGGAAAAGTACATGTTTATCTTCATCCCTGATTTTATTCCAGAAAAAGAATGTAAAAGATGTAACCTTAAAGATATACAAACCTGCAGTTATACGTGTCATAATGAAAGAACAGCTCTGAAAAACTGGCTGATACGAGATTCTGGCTTTAGTTGGATTTATTTAAAGAAAGAGTTCCACAACAGGAGGAACAGCCTCAAATACTTAATGCTATCCATCTTGGACTCCTTACCCTTCCTGATAATATGCCCTGTTCTTGCTAATCTGACATTTCCCTGCTTACTGCTTCTGACAAAGAAATTGGAATTTTGCAGGACCTAAAGCTTTCAGAATTGTGTTTTCATAGCCACGTTCACTAAAAAGCCAAACCTCTGTCAGACTTTTTTCCAGAATCCTGGCTAATACATGCATGGTTCATGCATTCTGAAACCGAATAAATGCAACACCAGCAATGGAAACTCTTCATGGCAGCGGTTTAAAAAGATGGTAAGTTCCTTATTCAGTGGCCTGGACATGCAGTGCTGGAATCATGTTAATCAAATGCAAGAGATTACACTACACAGCAGTCAAATCCAGTTCAGATTATTTGCTGTACAGATAAGAAAAAAACCCAACAACTATTCTCCCACTGACCACTACTACAAAGATCAATGATGAATGGTGCATAAAGAAAACTACTAATATTAATTATGGAACATTACATCACTGTGTCTGCAACTAAATGTTTTTTGTATTTGTCCTATGTGTTATCCCACCAATCCCTGACAACTGCACCAACAAACATTTTCCATTTTCTTAGACAAACATAGTCCCGGCTAGTTTGTAGTCATGGCTTCGTGTCATTGCACCTAACTAGAAGTTCCTTTGTGCTCCTAACCTGGTTGCCTTAGGTGATGAGCTGTTCAATGCTGTAAGTATCCTCTACTGAATCCTAAAATCATGAAACTTGCCTCATTGTATTTGTCAATGTGAGTACACACATAAATATCATAGATATTTATGAAATTGTTCCTTTTGAAAGCAAATTTTGGGATGTGAAACAGTGACACTCACAAGTCTCTATATGCTATGATAAAACACGATCTCCCTTGTTTTTCAGGTTTTACTTGTCATTACTTCCTTCTGGTTACCGTTTCATCTCAAAATGCAAGGCATCATGGCAAGAAAGAAATTATCAGTTTTGGAAACCTAGAGCAAAACTGTGCATATGATGCTCTTACTTTGGACCACTTCCTTCAGCAGAATTCCAAAATATATTCCAAATCTGCTTTTTTCCCCTCAAGGGCCACTCGACTGACCAAGGCAAAATATGGAAGAATGATAGGATAAATCTCTCTCCGGTCCAATGTAGCTTAAAGAGATGTTCTATGATCCAGTGAAAAGGTAGGTGGATGTATAAAAACAACATTAAAAATTATCTTAAAGATAAATACATTTAGAAGACAAAAACATTAAGAACTTACAGAAGAGAACTAAATATGAATCATAATATATTCAAAACAGCCCTCACATGAAGGGTTTTGAAAGAATACAATATATTAAGTACAGGGATATTTAGGAGCCATCAGCAATTTGTTATCAAAAGTTTGGAGAGTCCTCAAGTTGACAGAGTGCATTCAACTAGAGAAGAAGGGGGTCCAGTTCAGGAAGAGAAACCATATAAGCTATATTATGCATATTGTTACACCTTTCTGTCCCAGAGAAATGCTCTCACAGAAATTCTCATACAGTTCACATTAACAGAGAAATGTATCTCAAAAGTATAACCCAACTGGCAATGATTTTACGTCAGCTGGCCAGGAACAAAAACTTTATGTATGGGCCAGATCACGTTAAGAAAAGTGAATCCAAAGGAGATTATATCTAATGAAGATGAGAAATGCTTTTTCTGACCCCTAGCAATGTTTATCAAAGTTCATGGTATACAAAAAACTGGAGATAAGCGAAGGAGAGTGACATCCAGAAAAAA